ACCCTAACTAACCCCAGATTCCTAGGCTAACCCTAACCTAACCCTAACCCTAACCCTAACCCTAACCTAACCCTAACCCTAACCCTAACCTAACCCTAACCCTAACCCTAACCCTAACTAACCTAAACCTAACCCTAACTAACTAACCCTACATCACTGGAAGTCATGTCTAATTCAAATTCAATTTATCAAATCATTGTTAGAACATCAGTTACACTTGTAACTTTCTCACCAGCTGATTGTATGCAGTACAGTCATTCTCACAGATGTTGATTGACATTTGCTCAAGTCACATTAATCTCAATTCAATTTATTGAACCATCATCAGAACAGCTGCAATGCTTTCTCATTATCTCTTTAAAGTCTTTCATATTTTATCAGAATGATCTACAACATCTAAATAATTTCTTCTATTAATATTACTTGAGCTGGATGTCTCAGTTGTTTTATGTATTGCTATAAAGTTATAGAGTACAGTCATCCTCACAGGTGTTGATTGACATTTGCTCAAGTTACATTAAATTTAATTTGATTTATTAAATCATCACCAGAACTCTAAATCAGAGACCATATATAAGATAATAAGAAGTGTTTTATTTCATTAAGAGATATTTTTCAATTAGACTTAAATTGCTTATGTAAGATGGTATAATGTTCTCTGAGTTACTTAACTCAATAACTAATGCAGAACAGTTATTTCTTCATAATAATAAAATATGGAGGCATTTAATATCTGTGATATTAATATAATAGTAATTATTTACATGTCATAAATACTTCAATAGAATATTGAACAGTTTAACTGACTGGTGAGGGAGCATTGCAGCTATTGTGGCAATGGTCCAATAAATCAAATCAGATTTAGCATGACTTGAGCAAATGTCCATCAACACCTGCAAGAATGACTGTACTGCATAGCTTTGTAGCAACACACAGAACCACTGAGACATCCAACTCAAGCAATATTAATAGGAGAAATTATTTACATGGTGTAGACCACTCCAATAGACTATGAAAGATTTTGAAGAGATGATGGGTGAGCATTTAGGATTTTTTGATGATGGGCCCATAGATCCAAATTGAGATTAGCATGGATGATGCTAACTTCAATTTCAGTTTATCAGGACCCTCCAGCCGATGACACCACAACACTTCAAAATTCATATCAGTTCACCAAAATAGATAGAAATAATTGAAAGATGTTTGGAATCTTAAGATTAACTCTATCCCTGGTAAAAAGACCATGCAATATCTCAATTTTGGGGGGGCCCA